GGGGAGGGAGCGCGCGGCTGGACGGGCGGGGGCGGTGCAGCCCGGCAGCCGCCGAGGCTTCCGTCTCGTTCCCTCGCTCGCTCGCGCAGCGGCGGCAGCAGAGGTCGCGCACAGATGCGGGTTAGACTGGCGGGGGGAGGAGGCGGAGGAGGGAAGGAAGCTGCATGCATGAGACCCACAGGTAAGAGCCGGAGCCCGGAAGGGGCTTGCCTGCCCGGGGAGGCGCGCGCAGGCCGGCCTGGGCGAGTTGGCTCCGGGCTCAGCACCCCTGAAGGAGGAATTTTTAAAATAAAACCACAGCTCAGATCTCATAAGGGACTGGGGCAATAGGACCCTCCCAATCCCTGGAAAAGCAGAGAAGTAGCCGGGGGCAGCAGGGTGCACATTGTGAGATTCCTGAGAGTAAAATGTACAGGCCCCGGGAAAAGTGTTTTCTCAGCCGCTCGACGCTAGAAGGCTTTAGACTTTCCTGTCATGATCACAACCGCTGAATCCTGGGGACCAGCGCAGAGCCAGTGTGCACTAACCCCTGTCCTCTCTCCCCTCCTCCATCCCTCCCGCACGCGCAGTATCCCATGGTGGCGGCTACTCTCTGGACCCTGCATGAGGGGTGGCAGGGAGGATCTTGGCGTGGGAAAGGGGGCGGGAGCTGCGCAGGGGCTACCCGGGATGGAGCCCGCAAAGCCCAGGAGCCGGGTACTCAGGGTGGAGGAGGGAAAGCGTGACCCCAGAGCCCGGGCAACCCCGGGGTATTGTCGTGTTCCGCTCCTGGTTGCAGACTCTTGCAAGCTGGATGCCCTCTGTGGATGAAAGATGTATCATGGAATGAACCCGAGCAATGGAGATGGATTTCTAGAGCAGCAGCTGCAGCAACAGCAGCCTCAGTCCCCCCAGAGACTCTTGGCCGTGATCCTGTGGTTTCAACTGGCGCTGTGCTTTGGCCCAGCACAGCTCACGGGTGGTAAGTAACCCCGCTGTGATGGGAGAGCCTTGGACGGCCCAGCAGGGAGGGGAGCCTGCGCTGACAGGACAGCACTGCGCCTCCTGCATACATGCAGACTTTAGGGGTGCCCGAGAAACAGAATCCTTGTGTCCCAATCTTCTGCAAAACCCCTGGAGTTCACAGAAAATTCTGTGGAACCTGGTGCAGGTTCGCACACCCACCAGCAGCCTAGTTGGGCTTTTCTGAAGGAAGGACAAAAAGTGTGGTCTATTATTCCCATTTTGGCTAAGAAAGAAAAAGGAGGGATAGAATAAGAAAGAAAGAGAAAGAGAAAAAAGGCGGTATATGTGTGGACCTTTTACCTTTGATCTTTGCCCTCTGCAGTCCAGTCAGGTTTTGACTTCTGGATTTGGGCAACACTAGAATAGCCACCTTTAAGAATGTCAAGGATCTGAAATCATGGTCAGGCTGGTTGAAGGACGGGTTTATTTGAAAGTTAACTTTCTCTTTCTTGGAGATGGTGTGTTGAGGCACGTCAGCGGCTGCTGGGGGTAGGGAAGGGTTACAGAGCTTCAGGGATGTTTCTGGAAGATCGCTTAGCGGGTTACAGGAGCAACCAAGTCAAGAAGTGAAAGTTAAATGAGATAAATTGATAGCCCCAGTCTCTGTAGGCGGCTCCTCTATAATGTACTTGATTCGAGGGGAGAGGGCTGTGTTTTGGTTGTGGTAGAGGAAGACAGATGGAGTTCCTGTCTGAATTCCCCTGCTCCAGCATCTCCCTTTCCCCCTTGTGCACCACCGTCCATCACTCCTGTCTGTTCCAAAGATTCCTTGAGAGCTTGCTGCTGTGGGCACGTGAAGGACAGGTTTGTGTTCTCGTAACCGAAATCCTGTGGATGCTTCGGTAGACTGTCGTTAGATGAGAAACGAGTTTTGCTGGGCAGAAATGAGCCACTTGCTTGTGGGAAAACGGTGCTGTTTCGCAGACTTGGGAGGTGAAGATGAGGCGAAGAAATGAATGGAGAGGTAGCAGCACTGAGGGAGAAGAGTGACCACACTGGCCTTAACCCAGAGCAGTCCACAGTCCAGGCATTCCCGCGGGCAGCTCTCAGATGCCTGGGGTGTGAAGGAGTGCATCGTGGTGTGCAACGAGTCTGGGCTAGGGAGAAAACTCTTGCTTTGGCTTTGGATGGAGTGGGCGGGCGCATGGTTGTCTTGACTTTGTTTCTCTCAAGGAGTCACTTCTTGTGCCATTATTTAGTTTTCACTAGACAGGCCTCTGAGGCAGGCGTCCTCCCCACAGAGGGCAAGGTCAAGTGTGAGCCCAGACCACGTCTTTGTGACCCGCCAGGGCTTTCCCCTCTCTGGATACTTCTAGCCCTACCTCATAGGAAGATGGGAATCAGGAGGCAGACTGCCATTGAGCAGGCCCAGGGCCTTTCCTCTTTCTGGCCTTTCAGTTCTAGCTCCCGTTCTCCCAGCCAGGTCCTCATGATTTTCCATCGTCCTGGCTCGTGTCTCCCATGCAGGTGACAGATGAGCTAATCAGAGCCCATCTACATGTGTCTCCACTGTTGGGTGAGGCCTGAGCATGGGGTGGACTTAAAGGCTGTGCACTTGGCCTCATCCATTGCTGTTTCCAGGGCTTTCCCAGCTCGGTTTAGCAACACCGTTTGGACCCCCCAGCTACCTATGTAGTTTGTACAGTGGTGTCTTTCGCTCTCCCTTCCCAGAGCCTTGGAAACGGTGGGAGTAAGGGTTCTCCGTCACCCTTCAATGTCCGAGCCCTTTCTTTGTAGGGATCGTCTGTTGCAGAATGGCTGCAACTCTTATTTATTTATTTATTTATTTATTTAGTGACGCTGGTTTGTGGAGGAATACTTACCCTTTTAGGACTCCTGCATGAATCCACAGTGTAGCAGAGAAGAACGGCGAGGGACATCCTAAACATTGATGACACAGGTTTACTTTCTCAGAAAATAAATCTATGGAGTATCCAGGTTGACAATGAAGGCAAATTTGCCATTACTCCGAACCTCTGTTCTTAAAACATCCGTGCGTATGCAAATCTATCCTGTTGAAAGATAGATCCCGATTCCACCGGCTTTGGGTGGTCCCCGAGAGTCTGTGTTTCCATGTTCTTTCATTTATTATTGTTGTTTGTGTGCACACGTATCCGCCACATTGGTGCCTGTTTCCTAGGAGGCCACAAGAGAGCGTTGGATTTCCTGGAGCTTGACCTACGGGCAGTCATGAGGGGCACAGCGTGGATGCTGGGATCTGAACTTGGGTCCTCTAGGAGAGAGGCCGGCGCTCTTAACTTTGGAACCATCTCTTCAGCCCCAAGGGTCTATATTCAATATGTTCCCAGCTCCCAGGGCAAGTCTTTGCTTCCGGTCCAAAGATCACAGTTTGATTAGCAATGCTTTAGACTAAGGTGTTCCTTAAAGTCAGTTGCTTCTAACTCCAGACTTCCTGACCTCCTTCTCAATTACCGGATGCAAATGACCTTCTAAGGAGCAGAAGGCTCACCGAGTATCTCATTTGTAGGTGAAACACAGCTGAAATCAGCCTCACAGAGCACTTTCCCTTTCTTAACCCACAAAAGGTGCATATTTAATAGGCACTCTTCTGAAATGTGGATTTTCATTTTTGATTGCTTTCAGAGAAAAAGGAACACCACAATAGCTAGATATAATAGTCTGAGCTGGGGCGGGGGGAGAAAGCATGTGCCCAATATAAGTTTTACAGAAAAAGGCCTGAACTAGAAAGGGAGAAATTGAGAAAATGACCAGACAAAAGAGGAGAGAGAAAAGAACTCCATCAAAACCGAAAGGCTTTGTCCTGGGAAGCCTGAGATCCAATTCAACTCTTTGAGCCCTAGGAGAGCTTTTTATAAGCCTGGCTTAGCTTGTGGTGACTTTGGGTGGCTCTCTTGGAGCTGTCTTTTGTCAGCTGGGTAGAAGGGTCCTCATTTGGAGCCTCTGAAAATTATTATCCTGAGTGGACTCCTGCCAGGCTTATGGCGGCGGAGGGGGGTGGGTGGATACAGGACCCTGCTGTGCCCAGTAATCCTACTGGACTGTGGTTTTGGTTGCCTTTCTTCTTTTGCCTTAGTCTACTTTCCCAGAGTGTCGTGGGTTTGGAGGGATGACGTAAGTGGTCCATCCAGAGGTACTGGAAGAGGACCTAGGCTTTGCTTTACAAATTACTCCTCCAAGATCAATTCCTTCTATTATTGGGATCTCACGGTGGGTGCTGCGCTTGCTAGCTTTGAGGATTTTGGTGTGAGGTGTTCTCAACTTTCTTATGTATATGATAAAGAGGATTTTACAAATCTTAGGGAATTGTTATCAGGGATGGAAATGCCACAGACACTCCGTAATTGTAGAAGGTCATGGAGAAGTAACGACGTAGCTAAGACAGTGCTATAGTTTGGGGCATCTTTGATCTATTTATTCACAAAGCATGAAGTACTTGGACCCCACCTCAAACCAAAGCCTGTTGCTCACGTTGTTCTTTTAAACGAATAGAACCTTTCTTTATTCTCCCAGTGAACACTTTTGTCATCATCATGTGCTTCTCCATTCAGTAAATTCTTCACTCTCCTGGGCTCCCACTGCTCTAAGAGGCAGCACTTTGTCATATCATTGTAAGCCCACTGAGGGCAGCAATCTCGACTGATACATTTTTGTGTTTTAGACACCAGAGCAGCATCTGATTCATGGCCAAATGCTCAGTCAGTGTTGGTTGAAAGCAAGAAAATTAGAAACCTCACTTCCTGTGTCTCCATCGAGAAAACAATCACTGTGGGTGAACGAGTTATGAAAAGTTGAGGCCATGTCCAGTCGGGGGTGGTCTGGGGAAGGCTGGAGAAGAGTCAGGAAGGACTTCAGAGACAGGGAGACACTTAGGATGGGAAGGGGTGGCAGAGATATTGTGTACAGAGATGTGGAGATGGTCACATGATTGGACTCACCAGAGAGCAGAGACTAGTCTGACGAATGCAGATGCTGTGACCACAGTGAACCATGTAGAAGGACAGATAACTTGGAGTCTTTTCTAAGGGTCTTGGGAACATCCTGAGTGTCTCGCATCAGGATCCAGGGAATAGTGTTTGGAGCAGGAGTGTAATGTCAGGCAGGCGATACTTCCCACTTCCCTGCTTCCAAGTCTGCACCCCCGAATTACCGTTCTGTCTGAATTTAGCCCTGTAAGGGTGAGGTCTCATCTGGGTCATGAGGCGTATCTGTGTGCCAGCGGATAGGAACAAATGCTTCCTGCGTGATCAACTAGTTTGTAGACGTGGTTATCTTGGAGTTTTATTGAGAAAAAATTTATGTGTGGTTGAGTAGAAGCTTTTCCTGCAATGCTGTCTCTAAAATCCATGGTTTCAAACTGAACCTAGTCAACAAAGTCCCAACTCCCAAACCTCAGGCACATATTTCCTCAACAAAGCCTGTGGTAATTTAAGCAGCATGGAAACTCAGCTTATTGACAGGTGAAATCCGAAAGCTTTGAGGGTACGGAAGGATTTCCTGGAGCAAGTAGCAAATCTCACATCTCACAAGCCAGAAGAGAAGAGGCAAGTCAAAGAGACCCAGTGTGTCTTTAGTTCCCTAGCGTAGTGGTGGGGTAGATGAAGATCTTGACCCAGGAGATTCTGATTAGAGATGAGGAAAAGTGGCTGTGCTGTTCTGTTCTTGGTGTCTGAAATATATCTCCAGTGTTTCCGAAGGGCCTTCAGATGGTGACAAGGGCTCTGCATTCTTTCCAGGATGAGCAGAGTTCAAGTTCAGCTTCTGCCCTTTCGTGGCTGTGTGGATTTCAGTTGCCAGTTATCATCGGGGCCTGACAATATTAAGATCTCTATTAATGTAGTCAGCCCTTGTCTGCAGTTTTGTTTCTGTGATTTCAATGTCCGGTTATCATCACGGCCTGGAACTATTAAGTGGAAAAGTCGAGAATAAGCAATAAAAACGGGAGTGCCATTTTGAGAAGCACGAGGAAGTCTTTCACCAACCTGCCCAGTTCCTTCTGCATGGAATATAAATTAATCCCCTTGTCGAGTATATAATACAGTAGGATATTTAAAAGAATTTCCAGAAGATGTGTATTATAGCATATTGTTATAAATGTTCTGTTTTAGTGTTTGATACCATTAATTCCTTACTATGCCTAACATAAGTTTAACTTTATTATAGGTATATAGGTCTAGGATAAAATGAAGTATAGTATGTGGGGATTGCTACCATCTGTGATTTCCAATGGGGATCTTGGAATGTACATTCACGATAAGGGGGACTTTTAGGGATTGGTGGGTTCCAGGCTCTTAGCTTCCTTCCACATCTCTCTGTTACGTTTTTGGCTCGATTGCATGCCCTGGAAATTCACATATAAAGGGGTTCAGTTTTTGCTCCCAGGGAAATATACAAATAGAACTTGTCCAAAGCTTAAATGCAAATGACTCGCACAAAAATTTCCTAATATAGATTCTTTTTTAGTTCATTTTAAAATCTAGTGTTATTGATTGATACTGATGAGAAAAGTGATTTTTCAGATTGTTTCTTTTTATCCTTTTCTGATTTTGGAAGCTCATCCAGTGTTTGATAATTGAAATAACCACATAGGGTAATGGTATGTCTAAATAGGTCATCTGGATCATTGCTTCTGAAAACTGAAGGAAAGAAAAGACCAAATGAGAAAGCGTTGCAGCTTATTTACAAACACAGTCTCCTTTTGCGAAGACACTCAGCAGCACCCAGAGCAGATACAAAAGATGCATTGTCTCGTGCATCTGATGAATCACTTACCTACCAATTGCTCCATTTTCACAGGAGCTCACTGTTCAGCCATCACTAACCATGGAAGATTGAGAAAAGATATGATTAAATGTTAAATTGGCTGAAATCTGAACGATTGATAAACATTTCCAAATCGTTAGTAATTCTAGTTGCAGACACCTAGAACATGCTTTGTGTGCGCCAACGCTCATTCCCATACATATGTAACCTCATTCAACTCCTCATGGGAAATTGCACGGTGTACACCATTGTTTGTTCTTATTTAATAGGCGAGGAACCCAAGGGATGAGCAGACTAGGCCACTTGTCATTTTTGTTATGGTTTTCCTTTTAGTATGCCAGGACATGACAATTCCCATCTCTAATACATCCAGCCCACCCCTATTTTTATGATAATTGACCCAAAAGTGTCCATTTAAACTGAAATTATCAAGTAGTTTGAAAGTTGGCCTTCCTCGCCATGGTATAAGGGAACTCTAGTATCGTGACCAGAAAGGGCCATAAAACATACTGGTGAACCACAAGAAAATTCCATAATCTGGGATGAAGTAGAGGCCAGGGTGCCTGAACCTTGGACTCTGAGTAAATGATAGTAAGGGACCAGAAACCCAAGAACCTGTCGCCCCAGGTCAGAATGGGACGTTCCCTGACTCTACCTGTACTGAGCAAAGAGATGCCAGGTCGCAGGAACCAGTGACATGCGCGCTCACCAGCCCCTTCTAGGGGTCGCTGGGATCAGTGACATGCATGCTCATCCCTTCTAGAGGTTGCGACAGCTTTCCTTGCAGCTTCCATGCGCTTTGGACAAGTGTTAATGATCACACAGCTAGCATGTGCTTAGAGTGTTAAAAGCAATGCAAACGGGTTCCGTATGTGTCACTACCTGTAATTGCTGAGTGCACCAAGGGGAGGGTGTTTTTTTTTCTATCTCTCCTATCTTTTAAATCTTACTTTAAGAGATCTCAGTGAGGTTGCTCTACTGGAGTCTCCTAATGGTCAGAGAAAGCTGGATTAGAAAGCAAGACGCAGAGGCACACACCTGTGATCCAAACACTGAGGAGAGAGACAGTGGCAGCTAGGACTTTTGAGCCCAAGGGAACATTTCTCCCTTGAAATGTTACATTGGAGGAAGAGTAAGATGTGTTGGTTCATAAGATCTG